TTCAGCCATATCAAACAGTCACCTGAAAATTTAACAAGTTCAACATGTTCGTTTTAATTTATGATAGACATATATCGTATCATTGAACCACCACTGTTTCCATTTGCACATTTAGATTTTATTTTCTAATCAAAGTTTGTAACTTCATAGTTAAAAAGATCATTTGACCATGTCTCCGTTAAAAGAACAATATCATTATTTTCGAATAAATGTTTCATTTCACTGGAGTCTAGTTTATTGTATGAGTCAAATAAAACTTGACCTCATGTTCACCCCTGCTTTGTCCTATTTCTGCCTTGTAATGTCATTGGTTGACGCTGTAATAGTGTTCGTCCGTTTTACAGTTCCCTGTACAGTTTTATTTTGGGATTCCACTTTTAGCCCAATATCCGGTTTCACATTACCCCCGGTAACTCGAGTACTATTTTTAGATTGAGACGTAATAACGTAATGGGAAATTCCATAGCTGTGTATGTTCTTATTTTGATTATGTTGTGTGTTGGTACGTTTATCATTGTTTAAATTGTACTTCAAAGAAGAGGGGGTATACTGCTTCTGTCGCTCCGTCGGTCTGTCGCTCCGTCGGTCCGTCGGTCCGTAGACCAAATGGTGTCCGAGTGATAACTAAAGAATCCTTAGGCCTAGGAACTTCAAACTTGGTATGGTGATTGGTCATGACCAGTAGATGACCCCTATTGGTTTTGGAATCAAGGGGTCAAAGGTCAAGGTCACATCGACCTTGTAGGTAAAAACGGTTTCTGATCAATAACTAAAGAACGCTTAGGCCTAGGAACTTCAAACTTGGTATGGTGATTGGTCATGACCAGCTGATGACTCCTATTGATTTTGGAGTCAATGGGTCAAAGGTCAAGGTCACATTGACCTTATAAGTAAAAACGGTTTCCGATCAATAATTAAAGAACGCTAAGGCATAGGAACTTCAAACTTGGTACGGTGATGGTCATGACCAGCAGATGACCCCAATTGATTTTAGGGTCAAGGAGTCAAAGGTCAAGGTCACATTGACCTTATTGGTAAAAACGGCTTCTGATCAATAACTATAGAACGCTTAGGCCTAGGAACTTCAAACTTGGTAAGGTGATTGGTCATGACTAGTAGATGACCTCTATTGATTTTGGAATCAAGGGGTCAAAGGTCAAGGTCACATTGACCTTGTAGGTAAAAACGGTTTCTGATCAATAACTCAAGAACGCTTAGGCCTAGGAACTTCAAACTTGGTATGATAATTGGTCATGACCAGCTAAAGACTCCTATTGATTTTGGAGTCAAGGGGTCAAAGGTCAAGGTCACATTGACCTTATTGGTAAAAACGGTTTCCGATCATTAACTAAAGAACGCTTAGGCCTAGGAACTTCAAACTTGGTATGGTGATTGGTCATGACCAGTAGATGACCCCAATTGATTTTAGGGTCAATGGGTCAAAGGTCAAGGTCACATTGACCTTATTGGTAAAAACGGTTTCCGATCATTAACTAAAGAACGCTTAGGCCTAGGAACTTCAAACTTGGTAAGGTGATTGTTCATGACCAGTAGATGACCTCTATTGATTTTGGGGTCAAGGGGTCAAAGGTTAAGGTCACATTGACCTTGTAAGTAAAAACGGTTTCCGATCAATAACTAAAGAACGCTTAGTTAAACAAACACTCAACAGACACTACATATACCAAAACCTAGATTAGAATTTTACAGAAAAGCTCTTGCGTACTCTGGGCCTAAAATCTGGAACAAAATACCATTACATATCAGGCAATCAAACAGTCTTACACTATTCAAAAAGTCATATTTCACATGATGGTTCTCTGGTGGAAACCTCTGCTTAGATGCTATACATGTATAAATATTTGTTTTTATATTGGTTGAATATTTTTGTTTTATATGTATGTAAATTTTCAATTTTGTTACAATCCAATTCAATGTTGAATGTATGTATATAATATCAACTCATTTTTTTAATTTCTTCTTATTTTTCAAGGTTGATCTAAAGTATGTCAGTGTTGATGTATAAATATGAAATCTACTTGTGTTATTATTTAATCTTTTATTGATGTATTATATTTTGTAAATGGTTTTGTATATTGTTGAGGCCCACAGGGAAGACAGGGCTTGCCCAACTGTGTTGCCTCATTAAATAAAGTCGTTACTTACTTACTTACTTAGGCCTAGTAACTAAAGAACGCTTAGGCCTAGGAACTTCAAACTTGGTATGGTGATTGGTCATGACCAGCAAATGACCCCTATTGATTTTGGGGTCAAAGGTTAAGGTCACATTGACCTTGTAGGTGAAAACGGTTTCCAATCAATAACTTAAGAAGGCTTAGGCCTAGAAACTTCAAACTTAGTATGATGATTGGTCATGACCAGCAGATGACCCCAAATGATTTTAGGGTCAATGGGTCAAAGGTCAAGGACACATTGACCTTGTAGGTAAAAACGGTTTCCGATCAATAACGAAAAAAACGCTTAGGCCTAGGAACTTCAAACTTGGTATGATGATTGGTCATGACCAGTAGATGACCCCTATTGATTTTGGGGTCAAGGGGTCAATGTCATATTGACCTTGTACTTAATGACGGTTTCTGACCAATAACTCAACAACTCAAGTTGCCTTGGTTGATATTTTATATTAAACTAAAAATGCTTTTGGTATACACATTTGAAGGTCTTATGTAATATAACAACTTGGCTGTCATTAATGAGGCCTATATGATTCATACAGTTTTTGCATATATTATTTGGTAAGATTTGTAATAACTTATAATGCTGCACACAACCTATGGGGTCACAATAATTATTACCTTGTGACTTGTCATGACCAGTAGATACTAGATAACCCTTATTGATTGTTTGTTCACTGGGTCAGAAGTCATGCATAATAACCTGATCACATGACTAATTGGCTGCCGATAGGGGGCATACTTGTTTTACAAACATATCTTGTTATTTTTCACGGATACTTGTTTTTTTCTATGGATTACATCTTCTCTCGATAAGCTTATTTTGTTACTATTTATGTTTGCGTTATTCATACTTATCGCCTGTTGTTGATCACGTGACACATTGTTTACATCTGAACTCGCGCGCATACTTTCACTTTCCGCAGACTTTAACTCCTTATCCTGCCCACTGATGTTGTCTTCTACTGTTGTATATGAATAAGTTCTGTTCATCAGTCTATCCGATAATTCACTCCAGTAGTTATTATTCAGCCTATCTGCCGGGTTCATTCTATCTGTTCCTAACACTTTCCACTAGTCCGGGAACATATCTTTCACACATTTCCCATCTATGTACAACACAGCCGGATATTTGATTTGCACTTTCTGTCTATTTGATCTCGCTGTTCTAGCTTCTGCTGTGTTATATAGTGAGGTCCTTGCCATTGAAATTTCTCTAGGATACTGTCTGTCTATTTCCAAATTACTACCTTTCAGCCTATATATATGCTTTGTCAGTATCAATCGCACGACCATCGGACTTTTTGGTCCGTCTTACCCTTATATTTATCTTGTGTAAGCCTTCCAAGCCTGTGCGCCCTCTCAATATACATATCCGTGGTGTCAATGTCTATCTCATCTTCAAGAAAACCCTTAACGAGTCTTTTACAGTTTTGAAAATGTGATTTTTCAGTGAGACCATATATCACTAAATTATTTCTCATACTCCTTGATTCACAATCAACAGATTTATAAGACAATACCTTTACTTTCCAGCCCAGTTCTTTACACAACTTCTCCATTTTACTCAGTCTCTCATCTAGTCACTTTAGGTTTACCCTCCGCCCGTCTGTCCGTCTGTCTGTCTGTCTATTCGTCAGTCCATCCGTCCACAAAACTAGATCCCGCGATAACGCAAAACATGCAAAAAGTACTGAAAATATTTTTTTATGAAACTTGGCATATGGATAAATGGCAGTCTTGAAATTATGCACGTCTTTCTCTTTTCTTCCTATGTTGAAAAGTCTGGTTACTATGGCAACAAATAGACTGAAATTATGACAAATTTAACACATAAACTGGATCCAGTGATAACGCAAAAAGTACTGAAATTATTTTTATGAAACTTGAAATATGAGTAGATGACAGTCTGGAGATTATGCACACCTTTTTTTTTCTTCCTATGTTGAAAATTCTGGTTGCTATGGCAACAAATAGACTGAATTTCAATATTTTTTTATTCTAGTTTTTACGCATTTTCACTATAACTTTTTTTATTTCTTAAGGTATATACATGCACTTTAAACTTTAAATATATGTTTCTTGTCATCAATCACACCATATGTGACAAGGTTTACAACTCTAGCTTAAAAATTATCAGAATTACCTCCATTGAACATAGAATTTTCATGAAAAAAAAAATGTTTTTTTAATAACTTCTTTATTTGTTAATAAATCTACTTCAAACTTCATATATTTGTTTCTTATTGTCACTCAACATTTGTGAGAAACTTCAATACTGTAGAAAGACTATTTGCAGAATTATGTCCCCCTTGAACTTAGATTTTTTTTCAAGAAATTGGTATTTTTTACTCCAACTTTTTCATTCCTTATAGGGTTTACTTCAAACTCCCACATCATAATTATATGACAAGGTTTATAAATCTGGAATCCCTATTTTCAGAATTATATCCTCCTTAAACTTTGAATTTTTCTTATTCATTCTTTAACTTTCTTATTTCTTTATGAATTTACTTCAAATTCAAAACCACTTGCCCCTCACCGCTGTGGGTTCGAATCCCGACAGGGACTTTGGATTCTTTCATATGAGTAAGCTATCCAGCTAGCTTACAGAACGCCGATGGTCCGTTCGTGCCTGAAATAATAAACGGAAGGGCACCTGAGTTCTCCCTCCACCAGTAAAGCTTGAACGTCGCCAAATGACCTATACTGTGTCGGTGTGACGTAAATCCCAATCAAACAAACAAATTCATCCTAATCACTTCATACCTTATCAACATTCTGTTTTCAATATATTTCATAAGAATGGTATTGACAGGTCCTGGATCAGTGGTAGAATATTTGTTTTTGAAAGTGAGCGGTCTGAAGGCCGAAAGCTGGAGAGCTAATAAATGTCATATTTTCACTTTCACTGATATGAGAATGTTGTCTATAAAATTAAGTAATTAGCCAATATTTTCAAAACAAAGAAATATGAACGTATTACAAAACTAGAAAAATGACTAATATTTAAATGCGAATTAATTCTTCATTTATTTTCAGACTTTGAAGAACCGCCAACAAACATCTCTGTAGGAGTATTAAACGTTGTTCCCACTCTTCGTCACAAAGTTGACAACGAAGATCCAAATCTTCTTCTGCCCTACATTGAATTTGAATGCAAAGAAACATCAAATATTGAAAGACCGGAGCATCTTTATTATTCTACATATTGGTATTTTAAATCATGTTAAATTTCACAATATCGATTTCTTGAAATTTTGTAACAGTATTATGAACAAATTCAAATCAAATTTTAATCAGATGATCATTTTTATATTACCTGACCATTGTCAGGTTGAACTTTTGTGATTGTAAGATATCTCCAGTTTTATTTTTCATTTGACTTAATTGACTTGACTTAGAACAAAACTTGTGTCATTCAATTTAAGGAATGTTTATATATGGTGAATTATTAAAGAGCTGAAAACAATATAATTACTTTACTGTCCTTATTTAAATTTGAACATTGAGTATATTTAACATAAAAAATGCTTAAATTGACAATAAGTAATTATTAAAATAAATAAAGAATGATTCTTAAAATAGAATTCTTCATAAACAAAAACTGACAATACGTACTGTTCGTAAGTTTGTAATTAGTAGATGAATTTGATTTATACTTTGACAAAAGAACACATAAGATGTTACCAATATGTGTAGCGATTCAAGAGTGATATTAATCTTTAACTGATCTTTACCGTAAAATTCAATTATATAATTTCGTTCATGTTTCGTAGAAATTTGTTATATATCACAGCATTTAATACATATTTTAGGAAACTACAAAATGTTGGAAAAAACTGTAATACTGCTTGGAGTGAATATTACATTGACCTTTATTTAAAATTTATCACATTTGCTATTACTTTATTAGCAATAACTTGAAAAACATCAATAAGTACAAACGTTTTTAACCTTGAAAAAGTCTTACCAGAATCGCAGGTAATAAAATATATATTAACCTTTATGAACCTTAAATAGGGTTTCAGGTGATTGTAGGTAAATTATCTTTGGCTTAAACTATGTAAGTCCTCAATCATTATACTTATGTAAGACAAAATTCAAATATATTTCAGCCAAACATACAAGGGTCGATCTGATTACATGAAATATTCCAAAGTTTAATATGCATATTCTACAATATACTCACAAAAACTATATTACGCAAACTTCGTCAATAATATTCAGCGACTTTTGGCTTATTGACTTCAGCTATGGATATTACGTCCGTTTAAAATTAATTATTTTCTTCAACTCTATTGAAATATCAAACATTATTTTCTCGTTGTATATTGATGCAACAATGAAAGCATATTTTCTGTACCTCTGATTATCTGCATCAGGACCATCAATAGAAAAACAGCATTTAGCTTTGAGAGAAACGAGGGAATAATATCATTACTAGAAGAACAACTTCAGAAAGAGAAAATCAGTCTTGGGATAACGGTAAATACTAATGTCCTTTTTTTCTTAAGTATAAAATTAATAATAATTATTATTATCATTAAGTAGAACAATTTCAAATGAGTCAAAATGAGTTAATCATAAACATAATAATTTGAAGAACCAGTTTCACCTGTTCGCGCTTTAAGATTGCCCTCTCTCTGTCTGTCCATCTGTCCGCTAAAAAAATGGTCATAGGATAACTCAAAATGTACTTAGAATATTTTTGTATAACTGAAAATAGGGATAAATGGCAGAATTGAGATTATGCCTACCAATTTATTTAAAAAACAACAACAAACAACAAAGAACAACACAATATCCCCACAAAAAGCACAAAAACAACAAATACAACACAAGACACAACAACATAATACCGACAAAAAAGAAAAATCCTTAAAAAACAAACTTGTTGCTATGGTAACAATTAGATATTTTAATTCCTTACTGGTAACAACCCTCAGTCCGTCAGTTCGTCTTATCGACCGTTTCGAAAAACTACATCCTGAGACCTGAATTGAAATAAAGTTGAAACATTTGTTATAGACAGTGATTGTGAGAAAACGTGATCTTTTGATTATCTTTTATATAAATATAATTTCCTTATAAGGCAGGGATACCTAAATAAGTAAGGATAATACAGATAAATCTTGAAGATATAGTAGTTCCTAAGAACTCAAAACTTCATTCATAGTGTCATCAACGGCATGATTGAAATGTCATGGCTCTTTGGAATGACACTTACATACTTCTTGCGGGGTATTACCGGAAGGGGACTTTTGTATTGCTCGCAATACTTTGATTATTGTTTGTTTATCAGTATTTTGATGATGTCATAGATGAAAAGTCATTATCAATTATCTAATTGTAACAACGTTGATGGAAACGTAAAGCATTTTCTGGATTTAGTTTTTTTACATGGGTTATAAAATGACTTAGATCAGAGCGATAAAAAGATGTATTTTTTTATGGTTGCAAAACAAAAATTTTACATTTCAATTACAATTTCCTTCGTTCTATGTAAACTCAGTACATTTATAATATTTTTTAGGTGCAAAAAAATATTGGAACACATTCACGTCAAACACGCTCGAGTAACGTTTGCTTTAAGCACGCTGACATTCATATGGGGACAGGGGATTTTGATTTCCGTGAACTATACGGAACATTCCAGATCTATAAAAGCAATGATTTAAAAGATAAAAGCGGAATCAAGGTGTCTACAAGGAGTTTTGTAGATGCATGGAGGTAATAGGTTTAAACTAAATGGAGTGTACATGATTTTATATGCTCTAACTTGTCTTTATTGAAATAACAAAACATATCATTGACATATTTTTTACATGCATATAGTTTAAATGAAACTTTGGTCAATTTAATTAGTGCTCATAAGCTTCTTTTATCATACATTCTTAATCTCAACAAAGTTTGAACATGCCTTTTCGAAATACCTGTAAAAAATTGTTTTACTTGAAAGTGACTGAATGTGAGTTTTTTAAATTCATATTCATTTTAAGCTTCATAATTATTTTAGGTTCCGTTCGATTATTTATATATTTAGACGACGTACAACTGACGTTGATTATTTAGAGCCAAAGTGTCTCGATAACGTAAACAAATGGACAGACAGAAGATATCATCAACATTGCGTATGTTATTGTGCAGATTGTACAGAAATTAAAAACACAGCAGTTTGCTCACCATCGCAGTATGTGAATTGTACTGTCGACAAAAATAGAGCAATAGAGCTTTGCAAACAACAAAAAGTAGTGTGTAGGTCAATACAAAGGCAAAGAAGATCTTCATTTTCTAGCGATCCTATTGCGGAAATGAGAAGAAGAGCTGCTCTTTCTTATAAAGTTAAACCTGTTGCTAAGGTAGGTGCAACATTTTTTTCTGCGTTTAACCGTACAATGATTCTACTTTTCACTTTGAGCTGTAAGATAAATATTTTGCATTAATCAATTCGTCCAGAATTAACATTGCTTGTGAGTTGGGGTAGCGGGCGGACTCAAGAGTCTTATGATGAACCGTTATTTCTCAAAAACAAATCGATTTATGATTGTTTCGTTGTAATGAAATAAAGACAAATATAAAACACAGTATGTATCAAGATTATCAAGATCATCTAAGCTGGATGAAAATACTCTAATGATAATAACATGCTTGAAGTGCAAAGAGCAATAACAGTTCTCACTATTATATTTTAATGTTGCCTATTTCTAAAGCTTGTTTTGATTGAAATTCATTTACGAAAACATAAGAAATATAAAAATGGTTTGGTTTTAGCATGCAGCTCCTGCATCATAGTGAAAATAACCAAATAAGGTGAACATTTCTACCGATCGCTCAGACTTACATATAAATAAGAAAATAATGATAAAATAAAATATAACTACCTCTATGTTGGTTTAACAATGGTATTTGGGTATCGCTTGGTATAACGTTCAATCAAACTTTTTCTGCAGATACAAAAGTGACACGGATAATCGCTGACTACCTTGAAATTTGTAAAAGATAACATGTTACTCAAATAGGCCTTGATATTAATTTTCTCCACAAGCAAATATATCAATAAAATGTATAATTTTGACCAATCCTCGCCTCTGAAATGACGTGTCCATCCTTTGTCCGTCGTAGGTGTCGTCGTTGAATTTAGTTGGAAGCTTATTGAAACACTCTCGAATCCGTTTCTGGAACCAACCTGTACTAAGCTTTGAAAAATTTAAGTCACATATTTTTCAAAATCTAGGGAAATTTAGAGCATTTCCTAGACGGGTAGTGAAATGACACACATTGTCCGGTTTATAGTAACACATGTAAATGCACGTCACGCTATTTGTCATTAATTCCAAACATTGATTGGTGTTTGTAGAAATGACTAAAATTTACGATTATCCGTATGTAACGTGATATACTATGTCAGAGTATTAAAACGTCCCGGTTAAATGATTTTGTAAACAATATTACTGAAAAATAAACCAGTCACGTGACAATTCGTTTGACAATTACCACCTGGCCAATCCATATAGCTAGTACCAATTGCGTAATATGATGTAATAAAGGGGTAATACAATTTTAGCACCGTGGTGTTTCAATCTAAATTACTGTTGAAAAAGAAGTCTAATAATACTTTAAATAGAGGACTTGTGCATGTGCTTTGTGATAATTGAATTATTATCCCGCATAATTTCTTAAATCTGTTATAAATATCAATACACTTTTAAAGAACTTACCACTTAAAGTCATTTCAAAATAATTTACTGTTTTCCAGGTGACATAACTTTTTATACCTTTTATTAAAGTCCGAAAGTATGCGAATCATACAGTCGGGTATATTTCCCGAGGGGTAAAGTCAGGGACTCCCCTTTTCACTTTCCTGATCGAGAAATTGTAAGTAAAAAAATTCCCGTTTTGGAAAGACACGTCCACTTTTCATATACCTTGGATTATGGCCTATCTTAAAACAATTATCTTAAACTTTGCCGAGCGCAAATATATATAGCGCCATAATTTGTGAGAAATTTTACCAAAAAAGTTGAAGAATATTAAAAACAGTTCACATTTTCCTGATTTAGAAATATTCTTAAAATTTAATAGTTTCTCTGAATGATTTTAAATTATCTAATCAATTCGAAGAAATGATGTTCGATATTCACTCCGTGGCTCATATTCTAAGGTATATGAAAATTGGGCGTTTTCTTGCCAAAACAGGAATTTGACGATTAGGAAAGTAAAAAGGGGAGTCCCCGACTTTGCCGTTCGAGAAATAAACCCGATTGTGAATAGAAAGAGTATATTGCCCATACATTTCATATTCACGACCTCCAATTTAGAAGTATAGTGCTTTGAAAATACAAGTAGTAAACCTTCGTACACCATTTACTGTTATTAAACAATATAAACCATTCTAAACTAATGGTTGATCTTTCTGATTGCATTCAAATGTTTATGAAGTTATTGATTACTGATATAATCTATTTCATCGTCCTACGCAGAGTTGTAGCGTAAAAAGGTATATAAAGTGATATTCGCATTAAATTCTAACAATATATGTGTAAAATTCGGTGGATAAACTTTGTCAAAAACACTCTCGATGAATTGGGACTTTCTGAGTATTTTATAAATCAAAATGTTCGTAATTTGTTACATTTCAAAAATGTTGTTAACACCAAATTAAATGATTTCTACTTGAATGAATAGTACAGCACTGTTGATACATCTCCAAAATGTTTAGTTTATCGAATGTTTAAAAAGAAATGCAATTTTGAAGAATATTTATGTAAACTACCAGTTGATCTTATGAAATATCTTTGCAAATTTAGAACTACAAATCACCTTCTCCCTGTAGAAATAGGCCGTCATCTTGGCATTGAAAGAAATATTAGAACCTGTACTCATTGTAATTGATGATAAATTGCATTGTTTGCTTGAATGTGATACATTTAAAGAAATCAGAACAAAATGTTAAAGCATTACTATTATTGTTACTCAAATGCCTATACACTGGAAGAGAACTAATGAACTGTATAGATCATGCTAAATTAACAAAATTAGGTTTACTTTGTAAGAAAATACTGTCATTTGTTCAATGAGATTTTTTTGTCACTTGCCATTCTCTCATTTTATTCGTTTTAATTTTACAATACTTTACACTGTATAGACGAAGGGAGTCACGTGACCTGAAGAAGGTTAACATTCCCAGTGCCCAGCGTTTATCTACATTTAAACTTGCTACAGATTTTTAGCAGACAACAAAGAGGGTGATTTACTGATAAATAATTTTATGCTTGAATTCTTATAAAAAGAACAGACACTACAAAAAAATTAGTTATTAAATAAAAATATTATTAACATGTGAAATAGTTTAAAACAAATTATTATGACTTCATGCAATGACATTTGGACAATGACAATGAGTATTATGTGGCTACAGGAACGACAGGTAACTGTCCTGTTTTTGATGTCATTTATACAGTAAGCTTTTATGCGGCTATTTTCTTTCTGTGGCAAAAAGAAAATAGAGAGAACATTGGAGAATCTTCATAGTTCCTATATTGTTAGATCGTCCATCTTTCCGTCTGTCAATCCGTGAGTCCGTCTGTACGCATAATGGATACAGCGATAACTCAAAAAGTACTAAAATATTTTTATGAAACTTAAAATATGGATAAATGGCAATTTTGATCCTATGATGAAAAATCTTATTTTTGCTCAAAATATGGCAAATATAGCAATATATTGTGATAATTGAAATTGCACTGAAAATATATGATGTATGCAATTATGATTACTGTAGTGTTGTTGTTTCAACATTTTAAAAGGTATCAGCTCCAAACTTAAACTTCTTGGTAACCATGAGGGGCATATTTCTGAAAGCTATATGTTAAAGTTATGCCCCTTATTAATTTAGATTTTTTTGTCACAATTACCTAATTTAATAGAATGGTTTTAAACCTATGACATGCATCAACATGACACTTTGAATTCTTGATTATTAAGACAAACACAGTTGTAAGACAATAATCAATACTCTGAGAGCAATATTTTTTTTAGGATTTTCGCCCATTTTTAACTTTTTGTCAAACGTGTCTATCATGTAGAATTTGTAAATATGAAAGGTATCAACATGAAACTAAGAATACATGTTTATAATGACAAGGCATGTTCGCTAGACAAGACACAGAATTTTTGAATCGATATTATTAATGTCCCCTTTTTACTAAAGTATAATTATAATAATAATTATTATTATCATTAAGTAGAACAATTTCAAAACTGAACGGTATCAACATGAAACTTGATATTTGTTGATCATGACGTGAAATGTTTTATTGACAAGGGTAAATATCCTGAATTCAATATATTTAGGTGTAATGTCGCTTTTTGAATTAGAATATTTATAAAAAAAAATATTATTGATATGAGTTTCCCTTAAGAGACGAGCATGTTGTGCTCTTGTTTACCTTCCTAAGTTAAAAGTGTGGCTATGTCAATTAATAGAATTGAAAATTTGCAAAAGAGAAATAACTATATTTGGATCAAACTATAACTTCAATAAAATATTTTCTATTGAAACTTGAAAAATGAGTCAATCATAAACATAATAATTTGAAGAACCAGTTTCACCTGTTCGCGCTTTAAGATTGCCCTCTCTCTGTCTGTCCATCTGTCCGCAAACAACTTGGTCATAGGATAACTTAAAATGTACTTAAAATATTTTAATATAACTTAAAAAAGGGAAAAATGGCTGTATGATGACTATGCCTACCAATTTATTTTAAAAAAAATCAACAAACAGACAAACAACAAAGAACAGCAAAAATATCCCCACAAAAGGCACAAAAAACAAAAACAACACAAAAAAAACATAATACTAACAAAAAAGAAAAACCCTTAAAAAACAAACTTGTTGATATGGTAACAATTAGACATTTTAATTCCTTACCGGTTACAACCCTTTGTCCGTCAGTTCGTCTTATCGACCGTTTCGAAAAACTACATCCTGAGACCTGAATTGAAATAAAGTTGAAACATTTGTTATAGACAGTGATTGTGAGAAAATTTGACCTTTTGATTATCTTTTATATGAATATAATTTCCTTATAGGACAGGGATACTTAAATCCGTAAGGAAAATACAGATACATCTTGAAGATAAAGTAGTTCCTAAGAACTCAAAAATTCATTCATGGTGTCATCAATGTCATGATTGAAATGTGATGGCCCTTTGGAATGACACTTACATACTTCTTGCGGGGGTATTACCGGAAGGGGACTTTTGTATTGCTCGCAATACTTTGATAATTGTTTGTTTATCAGTATTTTGATGATGACATAAATGAAAAGTCATTGCCAATTATCTAATTGTGACAACGTTGATGGAGTCGTAAAGCATTTTCTGGATTTTGATTGTTTTACATGGGTTATAAAATGACTTAGATCAGAGCGATAAAAAAGGTTTGTCAAATACGTATCCGTTGATTACGTATAGTTCAACATAGTGCTTTCGTAGGTAAAATTATCTAAACGACGAGTTGTCGTCTTCAGCTCTTATTTAAAACAGAAATGGTATCAAAATTTTTTTTTAATCTATTCTTAAGAAGTGTTAGTGAGTCGATGTAATATATAATATGTAAAAATGAATTGTTAAAAAGTTTCATTCTCAGCTAAAATGAAGTTTATTTTTGATGGTTGCAAAAATTTTACAAGTTTAATTAAAATTGTCTTCGTTCTATGTAAACTCAGTACATGTATTATATTTTTTAGGTTCAAACAAATAATGGAACACGTCAACCACACACGAGTAACGTTTGCCTTTTGAACTTTAACATTCATATGGGGACAGGGGATTTTGAGAACACCTGTGGACTATGCGGAACATTCCGCACAAAGATTTACAAGATAGCAGTGGAATCAAGGTGTCTACAAGGAGTTTTGTAGACGCATGGAGGAAATAGGTTTAAACTAAATGGAGTGTGCATGATTTCTATATGCTCTAAATTGTCTTTAACGAAATAACAAAAAATATCATTGACATTTTTTACATGCATATAGTTTAAATGATTTTGGGCAGCTTAATATGTGCTCATAAGTTTTTTTATCATACATTCTTAATTTCAACAAATTTTGAACATGTCTTTTCGAAGTACCTGTAAAAGTTGTTTTACTTGAATGTGACTAATAGTTTTAAATTCATGCTCATTGTAAGCTTTATAACTATTTTAGCTTCCGTTCGATTTTTTTTATGTATTTAGACTACGTACAACTGATGTTGATTATTTAGAGCCAAAGTGTCTCGATAACGTAAACAAATGGACAGACGAAGGACGTCATCAATATTGTAATTGTAAATATTGTACAGATATTGAACACACAGCAGTTTCCTCACCATCGCAGTATGTGAATTGTACTGTCGACAAAAATAGAGCAATAAAGCATTGCGAAAAACATAAAGTAATGTGTAGGTCACAACAAAGGCAAAGAAGATCTTCATTTTCTAGCGGTCCCCATGCAGAAATGAGAATAGCTGCTCTTTCTTATAAAGTTAAACCTGTTGCTAAGGAGGGTGCAACATTTTTTCTGCGTTTACAATGATTCTCCCTTTCACTTTGAGCTGAAAGTTAAAAAGTTTGCATTACTCTATTCGTCCAGAATTAACATTGCTTGTGAGTTGGGGTTAGGGGGAAGGGGGGGGGGGAGACTCAAGAGACTTATCATGAACCGTTATTTCTCAAAAACAAATCGATTTATTATTGTTTCGTTGTAATGAATTGACAAATATAAAACACAGTCTGTATCAAGATTATCAAGATCATCTAAGCTGGATGAAAATACCAGGCTCTAATGATAATAACATGCTTGAAGTGCAAAAAGGCATAACAATTCTCACTATTATATTTTAATATTGCCGATTTCTAAAGCTGGTTTTGATTGAAATTTATTTACGTAAGAAATATAAAAATGGTTTGGTTTTAGCATACATCTCCTACATCATAGTGAAAATAACCAAATAAGGTGAACATTTCTACCGATCGCTCAAACTTACATATAAATAAGAAAATAATGATAAAATAAAATATAACTACCTCTATGTTGGTTTAACAATGGTATTTGGATATCGCTTGGTATAACTTTAAAAGTGACACGGATAATCGCTGACTGCCTTGAAATTCGAAAAAAAAGATACATGTTACTCAAATAGGCCTTGATATTAATTTTCTCCACAAGCAAATATATCAATAAAATGTATAATTTTGACCAATCCTCGCCTCTGAAATGACGTGTCCATCCTTTGTCCGTCGTAGGTGTCGTCGTTGAATTTAGTTGGAAGCTTATTGAAACACTCTCGAATCCATTAATTCCAAACATTGATTGGTAAAAATTACTAAAATTTACGATTATCTTAATTTAAGGTGATTAACTATGTCAGAGTATGAAAACGTTCCGGTTAAATGATTTTGTAAACTATATAGCTGAAAAATCAACCGGTCACGTGACAATTCGTTTGACACTTACCACCTGACCAATCCATATACCTAGTACCAATTGCGTAATATGATGTAATATAGGGGTAATAAAATTTTATCTATAACAACGTGCTGTTTCAAACTAAATTACTGATGAAAAAGTCATCTAATGATACTTTAACAGAGGACTTTTTACACTGAATGTTTGCCAGCTTTGTCATATGGTTCGATCATAATCAAAGCACTCTGGTTTCTTTGCGATGCACAGTGTCACACATGTATATGTCATACAATGAGAATCGTAGGTCTAGCTATAATCAAAACAGATATAGGACCATATTCTACAGGTTTGACCATTGGGTTGTAGCCCTATTCGAACTTGAACTCTATATCTTTACGATAAAATATAATTTCCGATTCGTTCGAAAATTCTACTTTAGTCTTCTTGTACAATAGCGAAGAAAATATTTTCTAGGTCTGACAAGCGCGACATCCCGTGATGGACAGCAATAATCGTTACTTGTGGAACTGTATTCCCTTGATATTACTCTCGGGCGCATTTATTTCAATTTCACACATCACTTAGTCAGATTTTCTTGAGTTTGAAAGACCCTGTTTACTGTTCAGTGCACAATTGGACTAAGAGACTATACATGGCAAATAGGGTTCTATTGAATTGCTCGCAAAAGTGTCAGTACTCCTTAAATTTGTTAAGCAATAACTACAACAAGAAATGCGATAGCGAGCAATGATCTCATATCTGAAAAGCGAGGTAACTACTGACGGTGTTTATCTCTCCGATATATGAGTTACATTTTCTTTTCTTTCATAAAATGAACATAATTACATACATGTTAATGAAGAGAAAATATAGAATTAAAACCACAAATTTCTGTATTAACATACAGCTTATATCTCGATTCTTAGATATATACTGTGCTCCTCTTAGTTCACGGTACTTAACACTTTAAAACAGTAAATAACACAAACAATAAACTTACACTACAAAAACTGTCATAAACTGTATTATTTAGTCATTTTTCTGCTATATGGCACAAGGAAACAACAATTTATTCAATCAAAATTAGTTTTAATTTGTCAAATGTAGACCTTGTGTCCACCATTTTGAAAACAGTATGTCATCATTTAACTCGCGGTAATGGTGTTTTATTTCAGTTTTTTCATGTTTCAGTTAAAATTTCTTTACGTTATTTTGCATAATTTTAAATATTAAAAGTATCTTTACATTTTAACTCAAAATTTATTTTTTCAACAAACAAGAACATTAAGAAAATGATGATTGTTTCAGACGTATGCACAAATTTAATGGACAATTGTTGTTTTTTGCAGAAGTTTGTAAAATGTTGTTCAGTTTTACGTAAAAATCTATAGATTTAGATTATTTGGCACAAAACTTTGTTGTTAAGGTGTTTGAATAAAATATGTCAATTCTGACCAATTTTAACACTGGTCACATGAAAATATGCCATTACCGTGAGATAAGTGATGCCGCGGAATTAGTGATGTTGAGTATATATGTCATTGCAAAGCCTTTTAGTAAATGACAAAGTCGAGCCAACGAACAATACGTTGACAATTTGAAGAATTCATGAACAATAAGACAATATAAAAGTTAGTCACGGAAGGCTTGTATAAGAACTCTTTATTTTCTGTTGTTTTTAACAACAATGCGGCGTGCGCATGCGTGTGTGTATCTGCGCGTATGCATGTGCGTGTGTTATATATTCGTACATCTTGTAACTGTTTTTCTGTATGTTTTATGATGTAAACTGTTTATATATCTGCTTTATGAATTCATTTACAAATGGTATATCAAATTTCATGATAGAGTGATAAATTTCGAATTTAACATTTTAATCTTATATAACATTTTAGTTTCAAACATTCAGACATAGGTGTTTTTTTCCTTTATAAGTCTTTATTTACTAAGTAATATCGGTGGTTGAGTAAATATTGTCACACGCGTCATAATTAATATCAATTTTATATAGGATGACACAGTGCAATATTTAATACAAGCATGTAAACTTTATGCATTGTAGTTGCCTACAATAAAACTTAATTTTGTGATCCCTGTACAAAAATCTATACAAATTAAGTTACACCCGGAGAGGGGCCTACATCTGAGGAAGCCTAAACCTGCACATCGTCTCATTAAAAGGAATATTTCTGCAAAAAAGTTTAATTTTCCTTCCTGTGGTTCAAGAGATACAATGCAGACGCGAAAATATGACAATTATATGTGTAAGGTAAAAATATGTGGTCTGTATCGTCTCATTATGGCTAACATTTCTGCCAAGCAGTTCATCGGTTCAAAAGATACAGGGCAGACACGAAATTGCCAACAGACAGACGCAAGCACAGACAGACACACCAGCGGACATGTATTGGGTACTTTTTTGTTTAGAATAAACAATATAAACCAAAATAAATTCTTTATAAAATGCAGATAACCCTTGTTTAACACGAAAAAACACGACGAAAGCAGACCACGGTGTATGTGTGTTTACTACCAGCCATACAAAAATAATCGAACTAAGATTTGCAAGTATAAATTTGTTTTTATTTCTTTGCTATCATATACATGGTATCTATGTCACTTGACTTCTTTTGATTTACGTGGATTCAATACAATTCACGTAAGATTTTCTATCAAAACTTTTTTTTTTTATAATAATTCGTTATTTTGATGTGGATAAAGTGGTGATTCTACTCGTTCTAGTCAATAACTTGTACTAAAAATGTTTTAAGCGAAAATCAGAAACTGTTAAATTAAGTGAAACCCCGTCCTCGGAAACCAGCAAATCACGCTGTTTCACTGTATGTGTGACTGTGCTCTATTCTTTATCCCATATCAATAAATGACATTTTAAAAAAGTAACGTAAAATAAAATCATGGACCTTCTAAACAATTACAATCGTGATAACAAAAAGTCAGGTAGTGTGGACATAGTAATATATTAATATATCGAGCCAAATTTACATTTATAATGTTTTGATAAATCAATGCTTAGTTATAAATCAGAGTCAACATTTCATTTGAATCACATTCCACTTGACACCATCACTATAATCGGAAATATTTTTTTTTATTCATTTTTAATCAATATTTAACTTGTTCTTCTTAGATTCATATTTACATAGATTCAGCTAATGGCTTTGTAAAGCGTATTTATATCAATGATGTTTCCTGACTTATGCTATTTTAAACGAATCCTTTCAAACTGGCAATTGTTTTCATGCTACTTTATTCATTTTGATGCATAATAACTTCTGTTTATATTCGATCGAAGTCAAATAAATAGCAAAGAATATGTGAATGCTTTTATCTGGAAAGAGGACATAAAAGAATTAAACTCTCGCGATAACAACGTAACAAAACAAACGATTTTCTATAATCCGCTGAAAGTAGGTACCATTGCATTTTTGTTCATTATGAATGTGAAAGCGTTTTGATGCATTTGGTTCATTATTCAGCAGAGAAGTTAAATTGAAAAATGTCTACTCTAAATAAAATACCGTTAATAACACTAACTTTGTGTGTAATCCTTTTCTTTGGGTCATCTCTGACATCCTTAACGATTAAAGGAATTAAACATGCAAGCAAATCAAACGGAAATACATTCAACATGATAACTGAAATGTCTCTCTGGGCATGCGTAGAAAAATGCCAAGCTAAAACAGAATGCGAATCTATTAACTACGACCGCTTCTACAGAATCTGCGAACTGAATCTAAAACCCGAAAATGCAACAATTCAACTTCAAAAGGTGGTTAAAACAATATATAGCGAGAAAGAATCGTGGATGATTGCAAGTGGCAATCTTTGTAATAGTGATCCGTGCGAGGAAAACAAAACGTGTGTTGTTGAAGACAACAACGTTGATTGTGTATTTGAAGAATGTAGAGAAAGGCCAACAATTGTAAACGGCAGTATTTATGGGAATATGAACAATATAGGGGCAGTGATTGTGGTACGCTGTGATTCTGGCTTTTATCACATTGGTGACAATATGCTCGTCTGTGATGAATCAGGACAATGGAAATATGGTGTGGAGCCAAAGTGTGTATTGCCATGCTCCCCGCCACCAATGGTTTATAATAACTTCATTTTTGATTACGCACATATCCAGACTACAGAAGGAATTTATTACGTCACATCTACTAATATAAGTGAAATATCATCTTTAATAATACTAGAAGGGTCACGTGTTACGTTCAAGGATGCATGCAATGACGGAGAGTATGCAACAAATGTTCCAATAAGTTTATGTGACTCAGGGTATTGGTCCATGCCAACTACAAAATGTATTGTCAAGTGTCCATTCTCCCTTAGTTACAGCTTCAGTAATGATGAATGCATCAGTTTAGCACAGTGTAAAAACGGGTATGCCGACACATTTCAAAGGTTCAAGTATAAAATAGCACTAGACAATAATTACGAGGAACTCACTAACGTCTCTGTTAGTGACTGCATTGACCATTGCCGATCCGATCCACTATGCAATTCGTTTGATTATTGTTTATTACGGGCAGTATTGCAGCTTCCAAAAAAAGTGTTTCCTTCAAAGATTAAATGGTTTGGAGGAAATAGAGTATATATATGGGTCAAAATGGACATATTTTCAACGTAACTGCAAATAAAATATCACTTACTAGTAACAGAACAACAAGAACACGTTAATCATTTGAAACAGACATAACAAAGCAATGAAGAAAACAAATACCTTAAAGGCCGCCGAATTTATATGATAATATCAGGATATCGGCAATCAATTTTGAAAACAAATGTCGGAACCTAGGCAACAACATCATAAGCGGTACAGTGTTATAAGTGGTATATCGTTATAAGCGGTATATCGTTATAAGCGATATTGTTATAAGCGGAGTTTATGAACTGTATATATAACTTTACGTTAGTTACATATCAAATAAGAACTAGTGAAACTGATTATAATTTTGTATTTATCTTATTTAAGTTACAGGTTCTGTGATCTATCTTTTATGTTTGTCAATGAAAGCCTTATCTAACTAAAATGTTAATCGAAAGAATGTGTAAGAGACAGTAGGCTTTGGAAAATGTTTTTGAACAAAACAAAACAAAACAAAACAACAAAAACAAAAATTGCAGTAGCAGCAATGACAATGAGACGCAGGCATCTTGGGGCTCTTTTCATGCGCTTTTTACTGTCGTAAAGCATACATTCTGTGCTATCAAACTGACTGATTGCAAAGAAATTAAAACAATTAGTGAAACAATCGGTGGCTGCAGGATATTGTACATTTTCCAAAATTTGTCGCGCTAATTTAAATAAAGGACAAAACTGCCGTAGCGGGAATGTCAATGCTACGCGGACATATGGCGGACATGTTTCTTGGACTAGATAGTGCAGGAAAAAATAAATGTACAAATGTAATAAAAGAGAATTGGTCGAAAGTTCACTCACATATTATATAAAAATAAAAAATTCAAAATAAGTGGGGCTGGCTGTGATAATTATCCGTATATTTCAGACTCCATTATCCAGGTGATCTAGGTAATATGGCTGTTAAAGAATTAGGTTTTATTCTTAACACACATGCTATTTATCAAGTAATTGAAAACAACGTGCCAAGTTGTTTTTGTACATGCCTATAAGATATTCTCTTTTGCATGCCTAAATATTATCAATCACAAAAGCTGCTCACAAATACATTTGATTCAAATATATTAATTAACTCGATACTTTCTGATAAACGCATTCTTTCACGCCACTCTTCACGCTTGGTTTATTTCCGTTAAACAGAATGAGCGACAATCAAGGGTAATAGAATCTGATAATTCAATTAATAAGGACACAATATGACATGAGATATAGCAGAAACCCCGTATATTACGTAATTGTCTTTTACATGTACATGTAGTATTGTTGTATGACATAAATATCGGTAATACTATACTAAACTTGCATGTATTAATAGTTGCATCTTGACCTGAAATATAGGTAACAAAACATTGGTCAAACAAGGAATGGTTTATGATTTTGAATCAAGTTTGGAATTCTTTTATTTGATGTGAAGCAGTTTCACATTTTCTTTCCGATGTTGTCATAAACGTAATAAAAACGTAGTCGCGAATATGACAACTTTGGATCCGCAGATTCCATATTTGTGTCCCAAATTAAGCTGCAGCCCCAACATTTAAACATGTATATGACATTATAGACGACGCCAAATGGTCGAGATAAATGATGAATTTTGGACATGGCAAACAAGTGTAGCGCAAATTCGACAACATTTAATATTTAGTTTTAGTTCGAGCACATGTTATGAGCAGGTGTTTGTCATGCGAAAGTTCCTGCCAAAATATTATGATTACCAGAGACAAAACTGAGCAAACATTTGACCTTAACCTTGAAAGACCTTCACTCATAAAGGCCTCTATCAGGTTTTTTTATTCATTTTATAGTAATAAAAAGTCAGGTTTTGCCCCTGTTTGTGGTGGATTTTTTGGTTTTGGGAATAAAGTCTGTTTTTAGGTATATTTTTCAAATTCAGTATTAGTTCTAGTTGTTCCCATATTTACTCACCAAATTAATCTCATTCCAGTCCTGGACTCCAATCATTGAAACATATCATGGCATAATTCAGGATGTCACGTGATCAAAATCAAGGAGGAAGTTTGGATACCACTATGTGTATTTAATAAAGTGATACCATGCATAAAATCGGACTAAACTGAACATCTTTTAATGTGAATGAATGTATTTTCTTGCATATCAGACTGGCGTTTCCGTGAGTTTTACCCATGCCGGAAATTTCATCTGGCATGGAGGGTACCAGATGAGTCGCGTGCTGTACAATGGCACGATTAGGATGACGTCATTTTACCGTTATGAATGAAGTTGTAATTCATACGCTGTTGTAAAAAAGTAGTTACGATTTAAATGATATAAATTTCAATTGAAATTAAAGATAAAGAATTTAAAATATAATGGAATATGGTAGAATATGCAAGAAAAAATATCTGACACATGTTTGCGGTTCGGATCGGAATATCCATCCCTCCGTCACCCGCCCATCGGCGGTCACTCGGTAAGCCTCGTTACCGCCCAATGGGCGGGTCACCTCGGGACGGATATTCCGATCCGAACCGCAAAATATGACAGATATTATTAGGCAGGATGATTTTCTCGTTTCTGTCTGTTATATTATCCGACTGCAATGCTTTCCCGCCAAATTATTTCTAACATCGGTCAATATCGTAAAAATCGGTCATTTCCGGAACGTATATTCGGTATTCAATTTTTTTTGTACCGTTAATTACTCTAATCTAGTACATGGCGATAAAGGACGAGTGATTGTAAATAATCTAATGCCAAAGATTTTGAAAACAAAAATACAAAAAAAAAACAACGTTATGATATTGATATGATATCGGCCGATGTTAGAATTTCTTTGGCGGGGAAGCATTACAGTAAGAATACATTAAACTTTGAAAGTTAAGAAGAGAGCGATCAGAGACCAATTTATGCGTGTAGATTATGAATTTGCATTTATACACCTAGACTCGGATAATGCATGCATAGCGCATACATTACCATGAAGTCTGGCGCATGACATCATTTCTTGTTATTTTATATTATTTTTATGTGATTTCACTAACGCGCACGAGAGTGAAATCACATGAAAATAATTGAAAGACCCTCCTTGAGTGCACGTTCGGAGTGACAGACTACACGTGTTTATTGTATGGAATTGCTCACAAAGATAGCAGTGTTCCTAGAGATATATGTGTCGTTTAAATAACAATACAATAAGCACAAGAAATCTTCCTAATGCCTTACATTAAGACAATTAATTTCAGATCTTGAACAATGATTTCATGCCCGAAAAGCGAGATAACTACTGACTGTTTTTTCACCGCACTGATATACGAGTTACATTTTCTTTTCTCTCAAGAATATGAATGATTTTAACAAAATTACATGAATGTTTAAAAGAGAAAACCATACTCTCATTTCTGCATACGCACAAATACATATTAAATCTCAATTTTTAGAAGAATTATATTTCAAAGCCTTTGAGTAAATGGCAAAGTCGAGCCAGTAGTTTTGTAAACGTTGGCATCGTTAGTGAAGTCCTTTGTGTTAAGAATTTATGAGTCACGGTAGACATTTTTTTTTCGATTTTAAATTGAAATTCCTATAAATTTTGAATTGAAAGTCCTATATATGTATCATATTTAACTTTTGCTTATATTTAGATTATTATAGAGTAATTGTGAAATGTCTTTCTCTTCTATTTTATATTTGTGCATTTTCTGTGACATGCTTAAATTCTTGATAATTAATATCCACCTATCTCACAAAATAATTATTTTGAAGTGCCAAAATGAACGTGGGGTTTCTCGTTTACGGTAAGTATCTTCCCATTACCTCTAGTTTTTATTTCTTTGATTAAAACCCCCCCCCCCCCTCCCCCCTTCCCCCCGGTCTCCTGTCCCCTTCCCCTTTGTGGGCCTATTATTCAATCATTTATTTGTTTTCTTTGAATTCCTCATCAGTTACAAATTATTTATCATTTAGTGATTAACATGTCCGTGCTCTGTCTTTGCCCTGTCCTCTTTTTGTTTGGGGTCCGCCTGGGCTCCTTGCCACTGGTTCTTGTTGCTGGGTCATATGGGGGTTGCGTTCATTGAACGCCGCCTTTCCTTGTTGATCTTGTTTATCATATTTGTTTCAACTCTATTTGTATGTGTGTGAGCGCGCGGTGTGCGTATGTGTGCGTGTGTTGGTGTGCGCGCGTGCGTGTGTGTGTGTGATATATAATGTTGTTTCGTATGGCTATTTATCAATAACATGCATACATCTTGTTTTTCTGTAAGTTTCATGATGTAAACTGTTTATCAACTGTATACATGTATTGAAATAAATATATCTGTCTATGATGGATGTTAGTTTCATCTGTTATTATACTTAAATCTATATATAAATCTGATTTATGAATTCATTTACAAATGTTAAATCAAATTTCATGATAGAGTGATTAATTTCGAATATGACATAACATTTTATTAGCTTGAAATACAGATTATTCATTTATGAGTTGAAAATCTAACAAATGCATCACTTTTTTTCTCATATCATTGTTAAATAGTATATGGCGTGATTTAAAAAGTTTTGTGAGTGTGTGTGTGTGTGTTTTGTTCTTTTTGCCAATCAAAGTCCGTATCTTTAAAAATGAAATACCTTGTTTGTTAGGTAGAAATAAAAGTGTCAATTTGAATTTGACAAGTTTTATCCATTATTTTGATTAAGTTCATTTCAAACGCCCACAAACTCGGGAGTAAAAATACAAATACAATGACACTACGGTTTTATTTTAAGTTCAAAATGTGTTTTAAAAATAAAAAATGCCAAGTTTAGTTGTATGAACAACATATCTTTTCCTTGCTTATAGTGAGTTATAAATTTTTGGTTTGGTTCCTGTCCATAAAATATATAAATATCTTTCTTAATTACTTCGTAAATGATCGGCATATTCCGTCACTTTTCGTGTCATATTCAATTGTATGATCGGACAAAACAGCATTATAGTAAACAGTAATGCTTTCTGAATGATAGTGACGGGTTTGACAGAGTTTACCGGTTTT